ATTCTGAGTGAAATTCGTGCTATCCGGAATGAACTTACAAAGGAAACTATAGCCCGACGACCAGATATGCAAAAAAGTTGCTGGCTCGCAGAGCTTAATGTGTGAGCGACAAATGGAGTGTACGTCATTAATATTGGAGGATCTTGCTATTCAGTCTGGCATCCCAACTTGCGAAACTGGGTTCTTGTATCATCAAGATACTGGAGGGTAAAGGAATATAGCGGTAACTGCGCTCTCACAGTGGAGCTGAAACGAATCGAAAGGTAGAGCGCTTGCTCTTTCAGGTGAGGAAGATGGTTCTGGTGGCGATAGTGACGATGAAGACACTTTAGCCTATCTAATTTATCATTGGGAAGGTGGAAAATCATCTTTCACCATGGCATGCAGCTTCCAACTGGAATTGCTGAACAAGCATAAATTTATTGGTGCTATTGTTATACTTCAAAATAATTACCCCCTCTTCGTCAGATTCGTCCAGCAAACTTAAACTATCCCAACCAGCGCAATGTCTGTGTGAGCTCAAGTTTTTGCTTAATAAAGTTGAGGAATAAGCAAAACCAAAAAATTATACACACCAAAAGTCACTTGCGTAGAGGCTGCAAAGGTATTCCAAGACTGCAAACGTACCATCGAGCTCTCATATGTGACTCAACCTAATAGAAAGCGGGGTCGAGGACAATAAGTGTGGGTGTGCGTCGCAACGCTATAGCAGAAGAAAGTGACCAGCGTAATAAAGCGTAGATTCGCATCACATTTTGCTATTCCAACCGTATTCAATTCACTTACTTGGTATACATCTTCGAAATATACACCATCATTGGCTAAATTACAATCCTGAGAAAAGCCACGAGGCGTCCTGAAAAAATTGCTCACGAGTGAAACGTTTCACACCACTAACTGAAACACCCGTATTTTTTTCCTCAAGCATGGCTTTCGTACACATTGGAGCAATTCTAGCAGCTATTTGAATCACTTCACTATCCGAAAGCACTCAAGTGTTCATATTGCTCACCCCGCTATTATTACAGATCAATTGAACCCGAATAACCGCACTCATTCAGACCTGGGTATCTGCTTACTGGATGCACCGTTTCGTTGCATTTTGTTTATTTAGCAGGAGGTACTTAATAATAGTTAGCTGATAATTAGTTTTAGCGCGCTCTAAATCAACAGAACGCATCATTCCGTCGTTATTTAAATTTCCAGGCATTAAGTGTGTGGATTACACAATGTTGTGTTCGAACACTGACCCAGTTGACGGTAATAAATTCTCGTTTGGCTTCCCAATAGCTAGCTTCCGCAACCTACCTCCCTGTATGAACTCAACGACATATCAAGAGATATACCTATAGAGCTAAAGCAGCATCCTTTCGTCAACGCATCTCCTGCAACTGCTTACTTCGTTAATACTGTCTAACTTGAAACTTAATACAATTGATTATAGAAAAACTATATAAAAGCGGTCAATATCAAAGGTTTTACCACTAGTAGTAGGAGTCAGTGATGTTAATCGGCATGACATCATGCGCTCGTCCATTCTAAACCGATTTCATCTTCTACTTTAAAAAAAGAAGCAAGTCTACCAGTTTGGTGGAATCAAATTCTATCAAGTACGACAGGATATCAGGATATACGAGCTCATCTTAGACAAGTTCATCTGTAATGACTGGTGTGTTCACAAAGCTTCCTGAAGCAGGTAGGAGCCATTCTTTTTGTTGTTGTTGTTTTTGTTAAAGTTTAACTTGCATATGTAAGTCCCTCTATAAACAAATATAACAATGGAATATCCCTTAGATATTGTAAGTTGTGGGCCGCCGCTGGTGGCCCACCACAATATTTGGAACAATGAGGACAATTCCAGGTTGAGTTTGT